GGACAATGGTGGGGAGAGGGACTGGGGAGGGGGAAGGAACGGGGTGGAACAGGTCATTGGGGAAAAAAAGGGACATCTGCAATATTTTAAACAATAATAAAAAAATAAAAAAGGATTTTTTGTCTACCCCAAGGTCATGTTTTTTCTAATAATTCATTGTTTTTCTTGTCTTTCAAACCTGTAATCCACCTGGAATTGACTTTTGTTTGGGATGTAAGTTATAAAATCAAGATTCTTTGTTTTTCTATATGGATACCCTTTTGACCTAGCACCAGTTATTGAAAATGCCATCCTTTGTCACCTTTGTTATAAATTTAGAAACTAGATACACGCAATCTGTTTCTGGACTCCTCTGTTCCTCTGGTCTCTTCGTATGCCTTTGTGCCAGAATTATACTAAGTTAATGCAACATTGCAGTATGGAGCCTTCTAGTCTATGAACTGGTATATACCTTCTTTTTTTTGTTTTAATTTGTCTTTATTGATTTCAGCGAGAGGAAGGGAGAGGGGGAGAGAGAAACATCAGTGATGAGTCATTGATGGGCTGCCTCCTGCGCGCCCTCCACTGGAGATCGAGCCTAAAACTGCCCTGACTGGGAATCAAGCCTCGGTCTCCTGGGTCCCATGCCCATGCTCAACCACTGAGACACATGGTTTATTCCTTCTTTTAAGTAGGTTTTCTTTCATTTCTTCCAATAATGTTTTGTAGTTTTCTGTATAGAAATCTTGTTCATTTTGTTAGATTTATTTCTCAGTGTTTGATTTTTTTTTTATATTGTGGTAAATTATATCATTAATTACAATTTTTCAATTGCAGCTAAAATGTAGAAATAAAATTGACTTTTGAATACTGAACTTTTATACCAGAATATCTTGTTAAATTCATTTATTGATTCTAATAATTTTTATAGATTTGTTTAGATCTTCTAGGAGGACAATCATGACATACAGGAATAATGAGTTTCATTATTTTCTTTTCAAACCTCATACCTTTTATTTCCTTTTCCTGCATTCTTTTTTTCTTTTTTTATTGTTCAAAATATTACAGATATCCCCTTTCCTCCTCATTAACCCCTTCCACCCCACCTCTACCCTCTCCCCATTCCCTAAGGCGGCTCTGAGAACAACTTTTTAATACCTAGAAACAACTGTGTGCTGCTAAGAACTTCTGCAATAGCATTGGTCCGGTTGAAGATGGAGAGGTCCTCTCTCCCTCTGATACTTAATTGATGAACATCTAAATACCACAGAGCAGTCTTTTACCTAATGCATCCCCATTTATGGAATCAATTGTAAATATTACCTAAGAGCTCCTTTGGTATAATAGTGAAATTGCTTTTTAATTTTCTAGGGAGACTCAGAGAGAGTGATGATAATCACTGGACCAAACATGGGTGGAAAGAGCTCCTACATAAAACAAGTTGCACTGATTACAATCATGGCTCAGATGGGCTCCTATGTTCCTGCAGAGGAAGCGACCATTGGAATTGTGGATGGCATTTTCACGAGGTAAAAGCCTTCTGTTTGAATATATTCCTGAAATAAATCAAGCCCATATTATCACATGCAGTTTCTTACTATGTACATGTTTTGATGGACAGGTAGGTTCTTAAGATAGTTAGAACTTAAGAGTATAAAGAAATCGTTACATCATGAATATTAATACTAGGAGGGACTTAGGATCATTTTGTCCAGTAGTTTTTCAGTTATTTTTAGTTACTGAATGCTTACTTTAAAAATCTTATGTCAAAGGTTAGTATTTAAACAAAAATAAAAGCAGCCCGGCCAGGTGTGGCTCAGCAGTTGAGTGTCGACCCAGGATCCAGGCGATCAGGGTTCGATTCCCGGTCAGGGCACATGCCCGGGTTGCTGGCTCGGTCCCCAGTCGGGGGTGTGCAGGAGGCAGCCGATCAATGACTCCCTCATCATTGATGTTTCTCTCTCTCTCCCTCTCCTTTCCTCTCTGAAATCAATAAAGATATATTTATTAAAAAAAAAAAAAGACCTGTTCTGCCTGGATCAGGGGTGGGAAGCCTGGAGACCTGGCCCAGTCCGGAAACTAGTGTATTCTCCCTGTTTGGTAGGTGGGAACTGAGAACAGACTGAAAAAGGCACTGGCCCAAGATAATTCCTCATCTTTTTTTACTAATAATATTGCATACAACTGACTAGGTCTCAGCCCTCAGTATATAAACCTAAATTTCATGCCTTTTACTAGGAATATCACTGAAATACTCTGGTCTCTTTCACGAGAATTCATAGTTTAATCTATTTATATAGGTTTATCAATTTAGATATTATCAGTATTTTTTGCTTTTGAGATTTTTAAAATTTAAGTGTAGTTGGTGTACAGCACTACATAGTTATACTAACTTTGGGTGTACAAGGTAGTGATTTGGCATCTTTGTCCTTTACAGCATGGCCACCCACTAACTCGAGTGATGTCGCTTCAAACTTACCACAATATGATTATTTAAAAAAATGTTTTCAATTACAGTTGATATTCAATACTGTATTAGCTTTAGGTGTACAGATAGTGGTTAGACATTAGATTTATTAGTTCTTAAAATATTACTTATATTTCTTACATTACATTTTTAGAAAAAAAGTGAATATAGTCCATAGTGTATAGTCAAGCTGTGTATATAGAGTATCTTATTTACTATCCAGCTTCATATTTATTTAATATTTGACTCTGGAATCACATCAGAATATATCACATTAATGTTGATGTACTTGAATAGACATTAAAGCACATTAAAGCTTGGTGTTTAATCTGAGAATGAACAGAGCAGCCTAAATTCTATTTTATGCCATATGAACCAAACATGTTATTTTGATCTTCACATATTTGTAAATTAATTCAACATGAGAAATTTAAAGACCTTTTCTTTAGCTTTTAAATCATAATGAACCTTCCATTTTGTAAGAAAAATACACTAGGTATTTTATTTTTATTTTTTTAATATGTTTTTATTGATTTTTAGAGAGAGATGAAGGGAGAGGGATAGAGATAGAAACATTGATCGATAAGAAAGAAACAGAATCAATGGGCTGCCTCCTGTGTGCCCCCTACTGGGGATCAAGCCCAAAACCCGGGCATGTGCCCTGACTGGGAATTGAACTGGTGACCTCTTGGTTCCTGGGTTGGTGCTCAACCACTGAGCCACACCGGCTGGGCTAGGTATTTTACTTTGGTTATATTATTAGGGAGAGTGACAGAAATGTGATAAAGAGAATAAATTTAAGAAGAAAAAAGCATCTTGGGTAAGGTAAGGGTCTGAAAGAGAATCTTCTTAGGGAGGAGAACACCAGTCAGGGAGATTTTTAGATGCAAGTAATAGAAAAGAAAGTGAAGGTAAACTTTTCTTACAAAACAAGAAGGCTTGAGGTGGGCGGCTGCTTCTGCTGTTTCAGTGACTGCAGTTTCCTTGGCCTGCTACTCAATGAAATTTGTGGGGTGTTTTCTGTTAAACTATCACCTATTGTTCAAGATCTCACTCAGATGCCTCCTTCGCGAAGCCTTCCTCGAGTCCCATAGGAAGTATTAACACCTCTCACCTCTCTATTTCCGTCTTACATGTGTTTTTCCTCTTTTAAAGCTCTTACCACCTTTAGTTTTGTAGATATTTGTGTACGTTACCTCTGCTATGGTGTTACCTGCTCCCAGAAGATGAGTCTCCTGTTTAGTACATTTCTCTCCCCTCTCTTAGCCTAGGGCTTTGCTCTGTGCATACATAGCAGACGCTCAAGGACAGGGCTGTTGAATGAATTGACCCTTGTGTCAAGATCAGGCAAGGAGACAGTAATCCCACGGACCGTGGAGAGTCCTTGAAGACCTGTGGGTGGGAAGGTAATGTGACCAGGCGTACAGTTTAGGTTTCAGGAAGATTAGTCTGGCAGCACTGTGAAAGCCTCTGCGCAGGGATGATGTCATGGAGTCGCTCTTGGGGAGATCCTGAGCGTCTTAATTAGACTGA